GGTGTTCCAATATCTGAGAGATCTTGGGGGTCCAGGTTAATTGAGACTACTGGTTCTCCTACAGGGTCACCCTCTTCTCAGCTTCTTTCAGCTTTTCCCTAATTATACCATAGAGATCAGCAGCTTCTGTCCATTGGTTGGGTGCAAATATCTGCATCTGACTCTGTCAGTTGCTTGCTGGGTCTTTCGGAGGGCATATAATACATATTTTAAGTTCCTTAAGAATAGGTATGTAAGACTGCTGGCAAGTCTGTGTGTATCAGGTGTATTTCAGATGCAACCTTATATGTTTTCCTTAAAACATAAACTTGTTTTATTGAGAGGAAAAATAAAAATAATAAACAGACCTAGCAGCTGCAGCGATGGCTCAGAAGTTCATAATACTCACGGTCCTTGCAGAGGAATTGGGTTTGGTTCCAATCATAATCATGGTGGCTACAACTGTCTTTGACTCTACTTCCAGGGGATCCAGTACCTTCTGAATTCCACAGGTATCAGACATGCACACAATACACACACACACACACACACACACACACACACAAATAATCTTGGAAGAAAAAGATCCTAAATTCTTTAAAAACCAAACACACCTCTTACTCTCTTACTCTCTTGCCTCTAGCTTCTCTCTGTCCCCTCGCCCTTCCCCTCTTGCTTTCCCCCTCTCGCCATGTGGTCATGGCCGGCTTCTACTTCTCTCCTCTTTATCTCCTCTTTCTCCACCATCTTCTCCAGTTTCTCTCCCCCCACCTTTGCCCTCTTCCCTAAATAAACCCCCCTCATGGAAAAATAAAATAAAATAAAAAACCAAACACAAAAATGAATCATAAAGTAAATGTTGGGAGCCGCGGCAGGTGCTGGAAAAGTCCGCCATCGCTAGGTGGCGCTGTCAGCCATAATTCTTCCTAGTAAACAAATAAATTGCGCATGTGCCATGGTGAAAGCCCGCCAAAGTTAAAGCCCATCCCACGGCGTTTGGCGCACAACGAGTAAGCAGCCAATCAGAGGTGAATACACCGCTCTAGGGTATATAGGGGTGCTTTCCCAGGGCTGGGGGTCTTCTTCCACCATTTTGGTTTTTGGGAATAAACGTGTTTCTACGGAAGGATTCTGGTGTGTGTGTGTTCTTGCCGGCGAGACGACTACACGCGCGCCGCACAAGTAAAAAGAAAAGAAAAATGATATGTTTGGCCTGGAGAGATGGCTCAGTGGTTAAGAGCACTGACTGCTTTTCCAGAGGTCCTGAGTTCAATTCCCAGCAACTACATGGTGGCTCACAGCCATCTGTAATAAGATCTTTTGGTGTGTCTGAAAACAGTGACAAATGTACTCCAATATATAATATAAATACAACTTTTTTTTTCTTTTTTTCTTTTTTTCCTCAAGACAGAGTTTCTCTGTGTACCCTTGGCTGTCCTGGAACTTACTCTGTAAACCAGGCTGGCCTCGAACTCAGAAATCCGCCTGCCTCTGCCTACCAAGTGCTGGGATTAAAGGCATGCGCCACCACTGCCCAGCTAAATACAACTTTTTTTTAAAAAAAAGTTATATATTATATTTTTGGTAGAAAAGAAAGTAAAAGAAAAAAGCTTTCAGATGAAAAAGTAGAAAGTAGATTTTGATGGCAGCCTCATCCAAAATGGAATTTCAAAATGGAAATAAAATTCAAGGCAAAAATCAGAAAGCTTAAATATGCCACACATGGTCTAAGGAAGTTTTGTTTAAAGGCTTATAGTAGATAAAACTTTTTTAAAAGGCAGAATTGTCAAGTGTGGTAGTACCCACCTTTCACCCAGCATTGGGGAGACAGGGGCAGAGGGATCTCTGTGAGTTCAGGCCAATCTGGTCTGCAAGGTGACTTCCAAGGCTGTTATACAGAGAAACCGTGTCTTCAAAAAAAAAAAAAATTCAGAATACTGGAATACATTGGATTAAATGTATAATAATTATGTTATTTCCGAATTTCCCAGGATCAGTATTAATAGATCCCTACTGTGTCAGTCAATGTGGTGGCTAAGAAAAAGCTACACCCAGGAGGAAGTGAATATAACCAATCTTATATCTTTAAAGATTATAAAACTCGCCGGGCAGTGGTGGCGCATGCCTTTAATCCCAGCACTTGGGAGGCAGAGGCAGGCGGATTTCTGAGTTCGAGGCCAGCCTGGTCTACAGAGTGAGTTCCAGGACAGCCAGGGTTACACAAGAAACCCTGTCTTGAAAAAACAAAAACAAAAACAAAAACAAAAACAAAAACAAAAACAAAACAAAACAAAAAAAGATTATAAAACTCTTTTCACTTCAAACAAGCTGCAAGGGGCTGGTGATGGGGCTTCATGGGTACAAGCACGGGCTACTCTTTCAGAGGATCTGGATCCGTTCCTAGTACTTGTATTGCACCTAACTCCAGTTCCAGTGGATCTGATGGTCTCTTCTGGTCATAGAACACCGAACTCACATGGTACAAAGACATTTAAGCACTTAGAAAAACTCCAAGACCAGAGACTGTTTTGACAGACAGAAGCCAAGTCTGCCTTGCAGACATCCCTTTTCAGTGAGTTTGGCAATGTCAGGAAGACTTGCAAAGTCAGAGATTTATTCCTAGTTCTAAGAACTCTGCACCCAAGGACACAGATTACAGAATTTTGAGGAAACATCATTTAACTCTGTGGTACTCCTAGGAACAGCAAGCACCTCTGGGTGAAACAGAGACAAGGTGGAGAAAGTGGGCAGGGACTGCTCTAGGTCACTGTGCTGTGCAGAATATCATAACCTCTGTGATAGAGCTAGCCTAGGAGAATGTCACCCTGTACAACAACCGTACTGATCTGATTTACTACACACAGAGAATCAGTACCAGGAAAGGGAGACTGTTTACACAAGTCCAGCTTGTTTACACAAATAAACAACCACTATCTGCCAGCACTAACAATGCTGTTGAATTTGAGTATTCAATAAATTCTGCCATCGTAGCCTGCCTGGCAGAATTGAGGATATTCTAGAGACTCTCAAACAATGGACCCCAAAGAAATGGGAATTCCCTCAGGAATCTCAGGCTGAAAGAAGGAGAAGGGACCAATCAGAGTGGGGAGTTTGTCTCTCAGAAAGGGTCTTAAACACCCTTCTAACAATTTGTCAGATCACCTGATAGGATGAGCCTGAAGCCCACCAATGGTGTGGGTCAGTGCAGGGAGGAACCACACCTTGACCTGGACTGCTTGCATATCACATCCCTCTTCCCTCATCTCACTTCAGGACCGTGAAGACAGACTGAGGGGCCTCCCTAGATCTCTTTCTTCCTCTCTCCAATGTGCAGTGGCAGGATGGATATTTTCTGCTTTTCACCAATTCTTTGGCTCCTTTTTATAAGTTTATTGACAACAGGTGGCTGAGTCTGACTTGGGCGAAGTCTGGGAATGCCAACTTCAATAACACAAACATGTCTGTCTGTTATTGACACCACAGGCTCAATGCTCTTGGGGTCACTGTGAGATAAATGATGTTACAGGTGTGGCACAGAGAGAACTGAGCAGAGATTCACTGGATGAGTTTCAGCATCATGCACTCAGGCAGCCATGCTGAAGCCCTGAAGGGAGTTTAGAAGGAATCCTTGATTTCTAGAGGAATGAGGGGGGTTACTTGCTTAAAAAGGTTTAGGGTGGGACAGGAATGAGAATTAACCTAAGCAAGGGCAGTGTGAAAGACAGTGGAAAAGGAAGTGTCAAGGACTAAAGCCCTGAATCTGGGTGTGGTAGTGCACGCCTTTAATTTCAGCACTCCTTGGAGAGCCCAGCAGATTTCTGAGTCTGAGGCCAGCCTGGTCCACAACTCCAGGACAACCAGGGTTACACAGAGAAACTCTGTCTTGAAAAGCCCCTCTCCCGCCTCCACCCCAGAAAAAACAAACAAACAAAAAAAAAAACAAAAAAAACACTGGAACTGTGACTCTAAGCCATCATGCATCTGGAAGTCTAAAATAAAAGTCCACAGTGGCTTGGTTTTCCATATCTTAACTGCAGCTGCTCTTTGTGTGGGTTAAAAGCCCCGGGTTACTAGGAATTGAGTCAGGCTGTGCAGGGCAATAGCCCCTGGCCATAAGGAATTGCTCTGCCCTAGCCTGACCATTCCTCTTTTCCTGCAGAGACAATGTATCCGGATGTAGAAAACCATGTACCCAGTTCCCAGTCAGACCACAAAAAATAGCTGTAACTTCCTGGTGGCCACCTTTGTATATTTACATCTTCCCCCAAACCCTCAAAAACAGTATTTCTCAACCTGTGGGTCGCGACCCCTTTCGGTGGATCAGCACTAGGGTTGTATATTAGATAGCTTGCATATCAGATATTTACATTACGGTTCATAACAGTAGCTGAATCACAGTTATAAAGCAGCAACGAAAATAATTTTATGGATGGGTTCACAACATGAAGTGCAAACGCTTGCAGCACTAGAAGGTTGAGAGAAGGTTGGGCACTTGACTTTTATTCCAGACCGGGCCACTCGCTACTCCAATGTTTCAATCCCCCCACCCCAAACGCCCCTCCCCCATCTCTCTCTCAACACTGAGACTCACAATGTACTCTGAGTATCTGCGCCCTGAGACACTGCATGGGGTGTGTCTAGATTTTCGGAGGAAGACGAGGCAGTTATAGGACTCGTGTCCTAACCTTCACCACCCACGCAGCTCCACGTCCATCCCCGGCACAAGAGCCCCAGTGCAACTTCCAGGGTTGGCTTCCCAGGAGCCTCTATCCTACTCGGATTGCAGAGACCTTGTTTGAGAGCCCCGCTGACCCCAGATGCCGCAGCACTGAGCGCTCAGAAAGGGAGAGACCACGGCTCCGTCTGATGGACAAGCTCCATCCGTCGGGATCGGAGTGGCAAGACCCAGAGGAGCCAGATGAGGCTGCTGCAGACTCAGCTGTCTAGGACGACCCGTTCCCACTGCGGTCTCCGTCTGCTGCGGCAGCATCCTCCCCACATCTAAGACAGGCCAAACGTACCATTTCTAGCCACGGAGTGTCCTGGTGTCCTCCTGCCGCTGTCAGTGAAGGCGACTTTGATATCTAGACCTGGCATCTAGGATGTACTTCCAAATAACACAAACACGCCTAATTTGGGGGTGGTTAAAAAAAAAAAAAAACAGACCTAGGTCAGACAAATTCCCTCATGTAAGAAGCATACTCCTCATTGGACACTTCAGGCACTAAAGTAATAACCTTTACCCTGATAGGCCAGTGGGCCTAACCTTTCTCCCGATAGGCCAGCGAGCCCGTGGCTCGGGTCCTGGAGCGCTAGAGACCGGAGATACAAGTTTTATTAGGCAAATTAGCAAGCAGATTACACACTGTGGACCCTAGCGTTCTATCCCTGTCTGGATGAAAATGTACATGTAAGTGGAATTTGCCCACTTGCTTGTAACAATGCACAGTGGGCAATTCCTAATTCTTCCCTCCAAGAATGGAGTCAGAGCAAGAGAATTCCAGACTCAGTGGTCATGGAGACAACTCAAATTGGTGCTTTGAGCAGGATTAGGAGGAAGGGCCTTATTAAAAGAAAGCCCTCTGCCAGCCCCCATCTTCCCACATCGCACCACCATAATGCCAGTGTGCCCAAGACCTTGGGAAACATTCCACCAGTAAAATTAAAAAAAAAAAAAAAAGACAACCTGACTTGTCTCTTATCCTACAGCTTCAAAAAAAAACCAAGTTTACCCAGAAAACCAGTTTCTGGGCCTATTGAAGTCAGGGCCTCCCTGCTTTGCTCTCTAGTGCAAAAACTGATTCTCATACCCTTTGTGATGCTTTCAGGTTTGGAGGCCTTAATGTCTCAGACCAATAAACCTCTGCTCTTGCTGTGTGTTAGGGTTTGTGTTAGGATTTTATTGCTGTAAAGAAACACCGTGACCAAGGCAACTCTTGTAAAGAAAAACATTTACTTGGGGCTGGCTTACAATTTCAGAGGTTCAGTCTATTAACATCATAATGGGAAACATGGCAGAGTCCAGGCAGATATGGTACTGTAAGAGTTGAGAGTTCTACATCTTGACCAGAAGACATCCAGGGGGAGACTGTCTTCTACAGGCAGCCAGGAAGGGACTCCCTCTGTTTCAGAGCCCATCCCACAGTGACAAACTTCCTCAAACAAGGCCACATCTCCTAATACTGCCACTCTCTGGGCCATGTCAAGAATATTCAAACCACTACAGGGTACTTTAGTGTAACACACACACACACACACACACACGGATGTATAGAATGATTTACAGGCTGTGGTCTAGCTAGTAGTCCAACAGTGGCTATGAACAGAAAGTCCAAGAATCCAATAGTTGCTCAGTACACGCGGCTGGACATCTCAGCTGGTGTTCAACTGAGAGCTGAAGAAGTAGGCTCCAATGCCAGTGTAGGAATGGACTTGCAAGCAGGCAGAGAGTAAAAGCTTCCTTTCTTTCATATCTTATATAGGCGTATACGTTAGATCTGCATTAAAGATCTGGACTAAAGGTATGTCTTCCTATCTCAAGAACAGTATTAAAAAGCATGTCTTTTCTCCATTCAAAAAATTTCTTGGTTATAGGTATGTTTTTCTACCTGAGAGATCTGAATTATATGTATCATGTTGGCAATCAAGCATACCCACCGAACATGATTTCCAGGTCAAACCGAGTCTATTCTTTTATTTTCCTTCGATGACTTTTTTTCGTATTACACTGGTTTTTTTCTCACCTCAGAATTTGGAATGACGCAGGTGCCCAAGGATTTTTTGATCCCATACAACCAATAACATAAAAACACACAAACAAGCAATGACTATCATTCAAGTCACCAAGTCATGGAGAAAGTGGAATTTACAGAAAAACTGGCTCAAAACAATAGCAAAAAAAACAAAAAACAAAAAACAAAAAACACACATTAAATTATTAAACCCTTAAACGTGCATTCTCCCAAATACTTATGAGAAAGATCCAGGCTGAGCTTTGTGAGTTCAAGGCCAACCTGGTTTACATAGTGAGTTCGGAGATACCCAGAGCTACATAGTGAGATTTTTTTTCTCAAAAAATAAATAAATAAATAAATAAATAAATAAGACCCTGACTGCTCAGCTTCACCCCTTGATTTACGATGTTGCAATAGGACCTTAGTTGGCCCTCAGACCTTAGCACAACTGACTTCATGATGGAATTGCAAAATTCAGCAAATAGAGAGTATAATCTACCAAAAACAAACAACAACTTCATCAAAGTCTATAGCTCTGAGAAAGTCTCTAAATGTGCTAACCTTGCTTTTTAGCTTTTTTGAGTTCTGTTTCTTGGTAACTGTTCTTGTTAACTGAAGTATATCAACCCAGGACATGCTTTTTTGTGTATAAAATCTCACCTTGAGAAAGGTTGAGAACTATACTGGGAATCCCAAACACCCAGTGTAGTTGCTGACCAGATAATAAAGACTTTCTACTAGCTAACATCCATATCTGAGCAGTCTTTTCTGGTGGATTCCCCTCAATGGTGTCTCCTACAAACATTTACAGCTGATCTTCCAATGAATGACACACGGCAGCTAAATGGCCAGCGTAAACATAGTAATGGGTGCTAGAAAATCTAGCTCTCCCCTCAGATAGAAACGCCACACAAACGGTTCAGCAGTAAGATTAAATAACTTCTCACTCACTGCTATAAAAGCCTTCCATGTCCTCTCAGTAATGCAGTGAGTGCTGTTCTCTGGCAGTCAGCCCGGCTCCACAACTGTGCACTTAATAAATCATCTAATGCTCTGCTCATCTTTGTTAGATCCAGATCAGCCCCCCAAAACCGCAGTGCTTGTTGACAATGTCCTAAACAGCAAGAGTTTTATTGGGTAAACAAGCCTAAAGGCTGGTTTCTGTTCACCACAGAAGCAGATCTCCTAATCCATGCTAAAGATCAACTGCCTCAGGCAGGAGCACCTAGTTCCCAGTCAATCCTGGCAGTTCAGTTCAGTCCTATCCTGTTGACTTCATATAATGTCTGATTGCTTTTACTCCAGTTTGCTGCCCTCAACCCTGAGAGATAGCCTTAGTTAGCAGTGTGACCACCAAGAAAGCTTTCTTCTTACCCACAGACTGGTCTAGTTTGGTGGTTTCACTGCACTCTGGCTTACAATCTTTTTAAAAATTCATTACAGTTATTATGCTACTGGCCTATCAGCATTGTCTGCCACTGGCCAAATATAAGAAGCCAACATTTAAAAATGAATCAAGAGAGAAAAGAAGGAAATACCCAATGTCACCCAGATAAGTAGGCTGCTAAGAAAAAAGGAAACCCCACCCTCACAAAGTCATCTTCTTGGGAAGGACCAAATTCATACTGAAGGAAGCCCTAGAGAAGATCATTGCTGGATGGCCAAGGACACATAAGGATAGAACTCTAAAAGTCTGCAACCACTCCTGTCCCCAGTCTCAGAGGGCACTGCCTCTGCAAACCTGCATACTTATCAAAGGGACCTTCTCACTATAAGAAAATGTCAGCAGCTGGTTATGGTGTGGTGCAGACTGCACTCCGGAGGCAGAGGCAGGTGAATTTTTTATTTCAAGGCCAACCTGGTCTACAGAGATAGTTTCATGACAGCTAAGGCTATATGGAAAAACCCAGTCTCAACAGAACAGAAAACAGAACAGAACAGAACAGAACAGAACAGAACTATTTATTTTCTTAAACTCCAGTGTGGGAGAGAAGCCAGATTTAGGGAGAAAGGGAAAATTGTAATCTTCAGGTTCCAGGCCACACAATGGAGGCTGGCTACTTTCTGGGGACTTCATAGGAAACACATTTCTTGAAGTCCTCGGCCTGTCTAATGGTTCTGGTTTGGGGTGGGGGTTTCTTTTTGTTGGGATCAAACAAATGAGACTTATCCTGAGTCCTGCCATTTTGTTTTGAGACTCCATTTTGATCATAAGGTGAAATTAAGCTCAAGTTCCCAGGCTCCAGGGGAGCATTCCAAAAGGCTAGTCTTCTTTTGTTCCCCAAAACATAATGATTTCTCCTAACCATGAAAGAACACATGATTCTTACTGGTGGAAAATTGTAATTGTAACTTGGCACGCATATTTGTGGTCTTCAAGCTTTAAAATTCTGTAATGCTCTGGCTCAGGGTTGCAGTTCAGCCCCAGGGTCTGTTCTGTGGCCCTGGTCAATTAGTAGCAGTCTGAGTACAATACATTTTTGTCACCTGCTTAAATACTTTCTGAGATGAACGTCTGAAGATGCAGTTAGCTCCCAAGTCTGTGTCGTTGTTTCTAACCAGTCAGTTTTTGCTGCCTAGTTCAAATAAAGATCTTGTTTTGCTGGACTCTTGTGATGGCTTGGGTTGTTTCAGACTTACAGACTCCAGCACTTTAAACATTCTCATTTGGGAATACAGAAAACCTTACTCCACAAGACCCATATCTTAAATGGCTTTTTAAAGCCTGACTGTCATAGACACTTCGCATTTCAAAACTAAAACACTGTCCAGAAAACACTACTACCCCAATAGCCACCACTTCAGTCTGCACCTCAGTTTCCTGTGTTCCTACTTACCCCTTCATGTACTACAGCTTCACACAGACATTTTTATAGACAGAAAGTTCAAAACTTAAAAAGTCCACAAACAAGAAGCAAAAATTCACTCTTAATAGCAGATAAGCCCTGGGCCTGGAGACTGGAGTGGTTTGTAATATCTTACACAAGTAACTAGTGCCTAACTTCTAAGGCCCTCCATTTGGTTCAGATACTCAGGGTAGATACGTTTTACTGTAAGATTTACTTCCTCAGGAGAGTAAGCCTTTCTTTTGCTCTAGTCAAGTAAAACTCTTCTTACATGATCCATGAGCCAAAGCTGGGAAATTCTCCCACCTCATGCAAAGGATTTATGTCTCTCATGGGCAGAATTTTCTTTTCCTCTTTCTCTCAGAATTTGGCTACAATGTTTTTGTTCACTGATGTACTGTCTATAGGTCTTGATTAGGCTTGTTTTCTCTCCCAGTTTTTGTTTGTTTGTTTTTTGTTTTTTAAAGGCAGAAAAAATCTCGAGAGTGATATGTACCAGCAGGGAAATTCCTAAAACCAGCAACCAGGAGCAGACTCAGTGAGTTAAGAAAGGCTTTCACTAGGGGTGAAAACACACACGCACACGCACGCACACGCACACGCACATGCCACTCCACAGTGTGAAAGGAGGAAGGAGGAAAACTGCTATGGAAGCAAAAGCCCAGGCTCTCCTTGAAAGCTGGGTTTAAGGATGTGGGGATGTATCCTGCCCCAGTTTAGGGTTGGGCGGTTTGAACAAAGACAGGGAGGCTGGCAAGTCTGTAAATTTGAGGTAGACACAAGCTGGCTTGGCCTTGAATTGTCAGGCCCTTCCACTTGGCAGGGGTCCCTTAGGCAGGATCTAAAGTCTGCCAGGCCTTTTTGTTTTGTTTTGTTTTGTTTTGTTTTGTTTTGTTTTGTTTTGTTTTTTGTTTGGTTTGGTTTGGCTTGGCTTGGCTTGGCTTGGCTTGGCTTGGCTTGGCTTGGCTTGGCTTGGTTTGGTCTTTAGGCAGAGGTTCTCTGTGTAACCCTGATTGTCCTGGTACTCCATCTATAGATCTCAAACACTGAGACCCACCTGCCGCTTCCTCCCAAATGCTAGGATTAAAAGGCAAGTGCCTTTTAATCCTTTAAGCTGCCAGTTTTTGGTCTCTTGTCAGGAGGGCAAAGAAAATGTGGCAATCTTGAAATTTCACCATCTATGTTGTTATAGTTATGACCCTTCTTCCTATCTGGTTATCAGAGTGTGATGGCTAAAGAAAATCCCTTTTAAGCTAGGCCTCCATCTTGGTACTCAATAGCTGTCTCTGAGTCAAGTCCCAGGAAGATAAGTTCCCAGTAACCCTGATTTAGGCACCCGCACAGCTCTGATTGTGTACTTGCTATTACATGACTAACTTTTGTTTGGCTTCTGTAAGTTGGTTATGCAGACACCCAAAGATTGTTTTAAGTTGCCTTAACCATTTCAACTTGGCAGAATAGACTTATTTTTGCTTGCTTGTGTTGATATTGAAGGTCTTCTTGTGGTTTTCCCCTTTAAAAACCCTTGCCCACACCCATTCTTCATGAGAAGCCTGAGATTTGGCTTTAAGGATGTTGTCCTGCTAGCAAAAAATAAATCAATAAATCTTTTAATTATAATTGAATTGATTCTATGGTCTTTTCCCAGAGGTCAGAAACTATATAACAAGGAATCAGTCTAATTTCTACTCCGTGAACTCTCTCTTATTTAAGATGTTTGTATGTGATGTGTGTGGTGTTAGGTCAGGATTGATGGGACGACATGAGATATAAAGAAGCAGGCAGGCGTCTCCAGAAGCCGAATTGTTCTTTAATCAGACAAGTGTAAGACAGTTCACAATCTCTCCTCAGGTGTGGACACAGTGTGCACTTGGTGCAGGGGCTTGGAGCTTTACAGTGTGGAAAGGGGTGGGATGGAAGATTCCATCTGCAGGTCAGTTCCTCCTCTCACATCTCAAAGTGGGAGATATAGATAGATATAGATACCACTAGGTGTGGCAGGAGCTTCCTCGGGAGTTATCATTCAAATCAACTTTCTTGTCTAGACTTCTGCAGTCCATCTGCGACTTTTAGGTCTTTTTTTTTTTTTTTTTTTTTTTTTTAGGGGAGAGGTAGTGGTTGAAGTTGTCTCTACAGGGTCCTGGATGTCCTCAACTCACTATGTAGATTAGGTTGACCCAGAACTCACAGAGATCCACCTGCCTCTGCAGGTTCAGAGGCCACCACAGCTGGGCTCAAGGGTAATTCTTATTCAAACATCACACCCAGCTTTTCTTCTGTATTATCCTCCCTCCAGCACTTTCAGAGGCTCAGAGCTTTCCCGCCTGGGGCTCTTTTGTTAAACTTTAGTCAAATTATCCTCCAGTTTCAGCTTGCATCTATTTTTTATATTCTTTTATTAATGAGACTAGGAACTCTGAGGTGGGAGCCCAGCATCAGTGATGAACTAAAACCTGAGGTCACAAACAAAAATAAAACTGGTGGTTTGAATGCTTGGCCATAGGGAATAGTACTGTTAGGAAGTGTGACCTGATTGGAAGAGGTTTGGCTTTGTTGGAGGAAGAGTGTCTCTGTAGGAGAGCTTTGAGGACTCCTAGTGTCCAGCTCTGTCCAATGCAGAAGAGAGCCTTCTAGCTATCTGCAGAAGCCAGTCTCCTTCTGGCTGTAGAACTCTCAGTTCCTTCTCTAGCACCATGTCTACCTGGAGGCTGCCATGCTTCCTGCTATGATGATGAGGGACTAAACCTCTGGAACTGTAAGCAGCCCCAATTAAATGTTTCCCTTTACAAGAGCTGCCTTGTCATAGAGTCTCTTCACAACAATGAAACCCTGACTAAGACTTCCTGCCTTTGATTCATACATCTAACCATGGGGCTGTGTAAGTATGGGGGGCTTTTGCACATGACATCTTTGTTCCCAGAAATAAGGACTCTGAAACTTACTGTTTCATGAGTATATGCTTAGGCTATAAGCTTTGGCTTATTTCCCAACTAGCTTATAACTTAATTACCTATTTATTCAATTCTAAGTCCCACTATGTGGTTGGTTGCCTCTCCTTAGTTTTATGTGACTGTCTCCTGCAGCATTCTGGGCAAATCCCCCCCTGCTTGACTCAAACCCAGAATTCTTCTCTCTCTGCCAGATCTCTCATCTTATAATGCTGCCTTGTTTAATTGGCCGATCAGCATTTTATTGACAGGTGAATGTTTTACACAGTGCACAAGAGATCATCTCTACAGGGCTGCCTTGAACATCCCTTTGCACATTTGTGTTCAGTCATTGTTTTCCCTGTGTTGTGCACACACCCAGTGCACACACTTCAGGATGAAATGAGAATTCTCTTTCACTCTCCAAGAACTGGCAAGCCGTTTTCCATATCAGTGGCAACAACCTGCAATCTCTCTAAAAAGGTCAGAGGTCCTGATTGCCCCACATACACCCCGGTCAACACTTGTTTCTTACTCTTTTCTGGATGCTAAACTTTGTGGCGGGTATAAATTCTATCATGGTTTTCTATACATTTCCCCAGTTCTTAATGATATTGAATATCTTTCTAGGTACTCTGTAGCCAATTAAATAACATCCTTAAATAGTATATTGTATATATCAAATAAAAATACATACAAAAATATGATTATAGGGGCTGGAGAGATGGCTGAGCAGTTAAAAACACTAGCTGCTCTTTCAAGGATCCAGGTTCAACTCCCAGCACCTATACAAAGTTTCAATAAACCTGACACCCTCTTCTGGCTTCTGTGGACACTGAACACATGTAGTATACAGACATATATGCAGGCAAAACTCCCATATAAAACAGTAACAATTAAAAATATCATTATACAGCTGGAGAGATGGCTCAGAGGTTAAGAGCACTGACTGCTTTTCCAGAGGTCCTGAACTCAATTCCCAACAACCACATGGTGGCTGACAACCATCTGTAATGGGATCTGACGCCCTCTTCTGGTGTGTCTGAAGACAGCTAAAGTGTACTCATATGTATAAAATAAATAAATCTTTAAAAAATATTGTTATAAATAAAAAACACTAGAGATGTGTCTGAGAGAATATTAACAATGATTATTTAACATACTAGATTCATGTGTGATACATTTCTGTTTTGTGTCTTCCTTCTTTTATGGAAATACATTTGAATACAAAAGTATTTGACATGAGAAGACTAGAGGCAAAACCCACAAATGTGACTTTCAGAAGATAAAACAACTTTTCCTATCTATCTATCTATCTATCTATCTATCTATCTATCTACGTATCTAGTCTTTTTGTTTATTTGTTTCTTTATTTGGCTTTTTCAGGGTTTCTCTGTGTAGCCCTGGCTGTCCTGGAACTTTCTCTGTAGTCTAGGCTGGCCTCCAACTCAAAGGTTTGCCTGCCTCTGCCTCTTGAATGCTGGGATTATGCCGGCAGTTCTCCTGAAGTTAGACCCCACCAGGCTGCCAGGATGGGGCTCCCAATCCCAAAGGCTTCCCTTCAATGACAACGCTTTGCCCACCACAGTAGGTTGTTAGAAAAACCAGAGGTACACAAGCACATGTGGGCGTATGAGAGCACAGTTGTTCACTGAAGCCAGAAGAGGACATCAGATCTCCTGGAACCTGACGCAAGTGCTGGGAACCAAATTTGGATCCTCTGAAAGAGCACCAATTACTCTTTGTCACCGAACCATCTTCCCAGCCACTGAAGCTCACTTTTATTTGTTTGTATTGTTTTATTTGAAATGCAGGGGCATTGGGGTGAGGCTGTGGAACACAGGGTTCTCACATGCTCAGCAAGGGCTTTATCATTAAGCTACATTTCTAGCCCCATAGTGAGGCACATATCCAGATAGAGCCCCTCCCCACGGTGGGAAATGGGTGCTTTCCAACAACCCCAGTACCCATCACCCTCAATCCTCTTCTCTCTTCCTTACTCGAAAAATCCTGTAAGATACCACAAAAGTCAGACATCACTTCAAAACACCGTAGACAAGATCAACACGGTGTTCTGCAGGAAGAGCTTAAAAAAACAGGAGTTTATGATGATACAGTGAGACCCTAGCTTTAAATGAGACAAAAAAAATTTGCTGCTCTTAAGGTTTAATAAGCACAGTAATTTAGTGCCCACAGAAAAGTAATTCTGAGGTGAGAGAAGAAAGGTCTATTAAGTGATTAGAATGGAGGCCAAAGTAACGGAAATGGAGCTGATACAACAGATTTGCTGCGAGAATCAGAGTTCAAATTTGCCTTTCATTCTGGTCTCTTGCTCAGAACTCCCTTTGGTTTCCTATTGTTCAGAGTGGTCCAGGTTGGTTGGAGGAGAATGCACCTTATCATAAGGCCTGTCGTCAATTAGAAGAATTTAAGATTCTTTGGCTCAGACACCAGCTGGCTTCTTTCACCCAAGCACTGGATTCACAGCGCCCCCTGCTGGCTGTCGATAAGATTCGGGTATAGGCCACAGTTCTGTTCATTCTGGGATCCGCAGAGGTAAATTGGTCTGGCGGCTCCAGACCAGGTGTGAGGTCACTGCGCGCCGGCACTCAGCGGCTCCACCCGTAGCCACAGCCCGCCTTCTGCGCGCAGGATCAGCTCTGGCTGCCTGCGCGGCTCCTTGTCATCGGGTAGGAGTCGGAAGCGCAGCAGTGTCAGGGCCAGTGCCACCTTCATCTCGCTCATGGCGAAAGTCTGACCTATGCAATTCCTGCAAGAGGAACAGATAAGGACTATGACGGCGCCTGGACGCAGCCAGGCACTGTGGAACCCAGGTCTCTGCAGCGCCTAGTCAGCATGAAGTGCAGGAGGGACCGTGACGCTCCTGGGACCCAAACTGGACATCTGCATCCCTAAAGGTCTTGCAGCCTCAGTGCCCAGTCCATACAGGTGGGACTCGGAGCATAGAGCAGCAGCCCTTCTCTTTCTAATCCCTACTCCTTTGCAAATAACCTGAATAGAGGACAGGAAGGAGAACCAGACCCAGACCATCCTAACTCCCTACTATTCCCACTGTCAGTCCCAGACCATACTCTATTCACCCAAGCCCATTGGCCTCACCTGGGCCCCGCCGAGAAGGGAATAAATGCCAGAGGTGAGCTGTCTTTAATGCTTTCAGGGTCAAAGCGGAAGGGGTCATAGACCTGCAGGAGATATTGAGTCATGGTGGATGAGTGACTACTTCCCAGTACAACCAGGGACAGAGCCTTGTTCCGGGGAAGGTGAGGTCTGATTTCCTAGGTCAAAGCCCCACTTCCTCCCTTAAAACCCCTACCCTACTACAGGGGATAAAGGAGACAGCACCTCAGGGTCTGGCCACACAGATGGGTTGTGATGAATTCCAAAGATGCTGATGAGGCAGATGATACCTGTGGGGGAAGAAGGGGGTTTCACGACAAGACTCTGCTGCTTGCCCAGGATCCTTTCCCCCATACTGCACCTTTGGGAATGGTCCGGCCATCTGGGAGCACAATATCTTGGGTGCAGCATCGGGAGATGACCGTGACTGGGGGGTGCAGCCGCAGACTCTCCTTGATGCACATGGTCAGGAAGGGCAGCTGGGCCAGGTCGTCCCTAAGGAAACCCCTTAACTATTAACCAGGGAACAAAAGGAGGCTGACAGTTCATGTGGGTCAGTGCAGTCTTTTCTCACAGTGATAAAGTAAGCCGTGTGTGGATCAGATGTGAGATAACTACAGCAGTAGAAAATTAGAATGTATTCTAAATTAAGACTGACCTTCTGCCAAGTTGGGACATTCTGACTAGTCCTTGGTCTGGTCCCTTCTAGGTCTCTGGAACCACAGCTGAGATGAATACAAAACTGGGATGGGAAAGCCATTGTAGGAGAGGTTTCTGGGATGAGGATGGATGGATGAACAACCCAGGGATCCTGGACAGTACCTAGACTGCTGTTTTTATTATTTTATTTTTTTATATGGAGACAGAGATTTTCTACATAGCCCTGGGTAGACCGAGCTAGCCTCAAACTTAGAGATCCTGCCTCTACTCCAAAGTGTTGGGATTAAAGTAGTATATCACTTACCTGGGTATTTGTGTGTGTGTGTGTGTGTGTGTGTGTATGGGTCAAGGTCTCAGATCCACTGAGTTACTGATGGTTGCTACCAGATGTGGATGCTGAAAACCAAATTGTGCAAGTGTAAGACATGATTTTAACAGCTGAGCCATTCCTCTAGCTCCAGCACACTGCAATGTCTAGATATCACCTCTGAGCCCCTGAACATATCACTACAGTAAGATCTAGGGTACAAGAGAAAAAAAAAACAGTCATGGAAGAAGACGTCCATTGGAGAGGACAAGATAGTGAGGGAAGTGCTTTCACTGAACACATGTAAAATATCGCTTTCCCTTGTAATTATCACTGTTCCCTCAGAGACAGAAATTGGTCTGTTCCAAAGCCAAGACCCCTTTCCTTGCCAGTCAGGCTTGGTACTAGGTCTCTCTCCTCTAGGCTCAGATTCCTTGCCCATTAGCAAATGTAGGAGACAAAAAGAGTGACTCTTCCCCACTTGAGGAGGAGAGGGGCTCACTACTGTGCCAGGAAGACCTATGCTCACCATTCAATCTCCTCAGGCTCTCGGTCCCTCAGGAGCTCCCGCACCTCCTGCCTGCAGCGCTCCTGGTATTCTGGGTGCCTGGCCAGGTTGTACAGAATCCAGGAGAGCCCACTGGCTGTGGTGTCATGGCCTGAGGGACAAACAAGCAGGCATGGGTCTCCACACTGCATCAGCATCACATTGAGGACAGCGCCCAGGTAGTGAAATCCAGGAAAGGGTAGGAAAAGGATCAACGGATAGAATAGGATTCTGTGTCTTCCTGACAAGTCTCAAGAAGGATAAACTCCTGCCTCCTCTCTGTCCCACAGTGGGACCCTCACCCTCAAACATGAAGGTGTCAGCTTCTGCTCTGATGTCCTCATCTGACAACACCTTTCCATCTTCATCCTGAAGACAAAGCAAGACCACCCAAATCAGAGCAGTTCTGAAAATCCCTGTGTTTAAACCATGGTATTCCCAGAAGATCATGTCCACCTCTTGTCTGTTGCTACTGGTACAGTCTGAACTTCCTGGCTTTCTGCTGGATATCCTGTCTCCCGTGTTGCCTGCAGTTGGAAGAGTCAACAACTCACACAGAAATGTCACCATGTTTCTACATGATGGAGAATTTCTGAGGAACTGATAGTGACTTGGTATGGGAGATGGCTGCATGCCAACTTGCCTTGGAAATTAGAAGTAAAGCTTTACTCTAAAGACTTCTACTCACATTATAAAGTGCTACAGATCCAGGGACTCCTATGTCCCATGGAAACATTTCGCTTGCATATCTAGACTTTGTCCTGGAAAGAGCCTGTTTAGCTCCAGAATGAAATTCCCTCTCTCCCTTTCTTTGTCTCTCTTCTTCTTTCTTTCACTTATTCCTCCATCCCTCTCTCTTTGTTCACTATTTAGCCCCTTGAGGGGAATTAGACTCGGGTGTCTGTTATTGTATGTGAACCACAGAATGAGAATGCATTGCCCTTTCTCTGTGGTGTAAACCTCACTGCACATAAAGGCCAATACCTCATCCCCCTAGAAAAGGGGGCACTGGTAATGGGGAGTCACTGTTACATGATATTTTGGCTTTACCTTTTGCCATGACTAATAAAAGGGCCTCTGTGATGTTGGGGAGTTTGCCTGGATTTGCCGCAGTGTCCTCTGTATTGAGCTCACATTATTTGACACAGTATTTTGCATCAATATCCACTGTGCTTCTTGAGAACCTACCTTGCTCAGCAGCAGCACATCAATGAAATCCAAAGTCTTGGCCTTGGCCTTAGACTTAAGGAAGTCATCCAAACCCTGATCTGGGAGGGTGCGGCGCCGCTCCCGGATGACGGCATCGGTGAACTCATGCACCAGGTTGCAGGCCTTATGGAAGCGCATCCCATCAGGTGTGAGATTATACAGCAGGTCCATGTACATCAAAGGCTGCTGGTGCCTTTTGGCTACTAGGGCACTGAGCTCCAGGATGGCAGCAATATATTCACTGGACTTCCTGCAGGATTTAGGCAAAGGAGACAGCAACTTAACATATGTGAATCTGTCCCTCTCCCCACCAGCCAGGAATCATTGGGAATGGAGTACCAGAGACAGTTGGCCACAGAGGCAGAGTGGAACAAGCCCTGAGAGTCAACTCTCAAAAAACTCATCATATTTCTTCGACCTGCCTCCACAACCCTATGCTCCCAAACTGCAGTGTGGCTAGCTCTCAAAACTGACTTCCCATGAAGTCGTGAAGGCACTAGATGACTTGACAGTAGAAACAGTGACACTACTAGGTGAGCTTAACCCTTGTATCTTCTGGAAAAGAATAAGACCCGAGCTGGATGAACAGTTTAAGGAAGGAGGTAGGGAAGTGGATCCCAGAAGGAGCTCAGTGTTAATCATATCCATCATCAGCCCTACTGTAACTTATAATATCTCCTTAATATCCCCCAAAGATGTGTGTGTGTGTGTGTGGTGTGTGTGTAGTGTGTGTGTGTGAGTGGTGTGTGTGTGTGTGTGTGTGTGTGTGTGTGTGTGGTGTGTGTACTGTGTGTGTAGTGTGTGTGTGGTGTGTGTGGTGTGTGTGTGTGTAGTGTGTGTGTGTGTGTGTGTAGTGTGTGTGTGGTGTGTGTGTGTGTAGTGTGTGTGGTGTGTGTGTGTGGTGTGTGTGTGGTGTGTGTGTGTAGTGTGTGTGTAGTGTGTATATAGTGTGTGTGTGTGTAGTGTGTGTGTGTAGTGTGTGTGTAGTATGTGTGTAGTGTGTGTGTGTGGTGTGTGTGGCGTGTGTGTGTAGCGTATGTGTGTGTGTGTGTGTGTGTGTATGCTTGTGTGTGTATATATTTGGGGAGAGATTCAAGACTGAGTTTCTCTGTGTAGCCTTGGCTATCCTGGAACTTGCTCTGTAGACCAGTCTAGTCTGGCTTCAAACTAAGAGATTTGTCTGCCTCTGCATTCAGGGTATTAGGATTAAGGGCATGTGCCATCAGGCCAAAAAAATAGATAGATAGATAGATAGATAGATAGATAGATAGATAGATAGATAGA